TGGAGGGAGGAGTTTGACGAGCGACCGGACCTGCTATTGGCTCGCACCGTCACCTTCACAGATTCTGGCGCCGCCCCCAACAGGTCTATACAGGTGAGTCCATGGGTGACGAAAGGGGAGTAAACATGTGGTTTTACGTTGGAAAAAGTAGAAAAGAAGACAATAGCAAGGTGATAACGAACGACGATGATTGGTGCGAAGTAAAGGTAATGGTAATAATGATAATAGTGATGGCATTAATGATTAATGATGGTGGTGATGGTGAGGATGATGATGATGATGATGATGATGATGATGATGATAATAATAATAATCTTAATAGTAAGGATTATAATAATGGTAATGATAATAGTAATAATAATAAAAATAATAATAACAATAATAATAATAATAATAATAATAATAATAATGATAATAGTAATAATAATGATGATAATAATGATAATAATAATGATAATAATTATAATAATAATAGTTATAATGATAATTATGATAATTATAGTAATGATAGGGATAATGATGTCCACCATCACCACCACCACAACTACTACAATTACAATAATACCACCACCAATAACCCCCCCCCCCCCCTTCATGCCCAGAGAATCGAGGAGGAATTCGGGCAACCGGAGGGCACGGAGCCACACAAGGCCGTGCAGCGCCGTGTGTTGCAGGTGGCGGAGGGCAGAATCCTCCTCGTCTACCACTACGGCCACCACCGCCTCCTGCAGCCGACCAGGTCCTTCGTCAAACCGCCTTCGTCAGATGGTCGGGCGGCCACGCTCTCGCCGGAGATGACGCATGGGTTCCAGGTGGGGTTGGGGGGGAGTGTTGGAATGGGGGTGGGGGTAGGGGTTTGGTGGGGTGGGGTTAGAGGAGGGGGGGTAAAAGCTAGGGAGGTGAGAGGGGGTATAAGGATGTCTGTTTTTGTTTCTGCCTTTGTCTGTCTGTTTCTGTCTCTGCCTTTGTCTGTCTGTTTCTGTCTCTGCCTCTGTCTGTCTGTCTTCCTTTCTCTATTTCTTTACTAATCCACTAAAAGTATCCTTCCAAAAGTTGATATAGATGTAATAAGTATTGTTATTCATATTAGTATCCCCACTAAATTTCATTGAAAGAATTCCTGGCTCGGTACTAAATATAAAATGAAAGATATATCAACATCTGGACTTGAGAAAAAAAAAGAATATTGCTCTAAATAATCTACTATAATTATAATTCCAAAAGTTATTCATATCAGCATCCCCAATAAATATCACTAAAAGAATTCCTGGTTGAGCACTAAATAAAAAAATGGAAGATATATCAACATCAAGACTTGAGAAAAAAAACTAACAATTAAGCCGAAAAGCGTCATCCTCATTCTCTCCCGTCACCAGCCTGATCCAACAGTCGAGGAGCCACCGATGCCGCAGCTATGGGCGGTGCTGCGGGCGGAGATGGAGGCGGAGGCCGTGTCGCAGGAGGAGGTGCGAAGGGGCGTGGAGGAGACGGCGCAGGTGCGGGAGGCGAGAGCTCGGGAGGAGGAAGACCCGGCTCTTGTGACGCACATCTTCGACATTCACCGGAATGAGACCGTCCAGTTTATCCTGCGGCAGGTAACGTCGGGGAGAGGGAACGACCGATAAGAGAATCGCTCAAAAGGTCAAAACAGAGAAAATGATCTCGGAGTGAAGTACTAGGGCAAAGTAATGGAGTCGGGCAGTACATACTCTGAAGTTTCTCAAGGTTTTCCCAGATCTGAAATAAAACTGTTTTTGGTTTCCACAGAGGCAATACGATGAAGCTCACCGCGAGGAAACGCTGAGGAAGAAACGTGAAGAGAGAGAAGGAAAAGTAGATATCATCGCTCCGTATATTCCCCTATTAACGGTCAGTACCGGTCTTAATCTTCATAGTTTTGTTTATTTTACGATGCCAATAAAATGCGGAGAACAGTGTAGCACATTGATTTCAGTACTTTCAATATTGTTATTGTATATTTTTTTCACGTATGTTATTATTGTTTAGCCATCATTAACACTTTCTTCAACATCATCATGATAACGACCCAATCATATCCTATGCTGAGCCTGTTGTCTACTCAATCCTGACGAGTGACCAATTTCCTGTACAGTCGGACGCGGAGACAGGCGGACCCGAGACGGTGCGGGAGAGGTGTCTTCAGGACCTCAGGGAGAGACTCGCCCTCCGAGCCAACCTCCTGCAGGATCGACTGGACCAGGTGCCTTTCTTGGGGTTTTGTGTCGCGGACCCTATCGTTTTCGTAATCCAGCATGGGTTGAAGTTAATGGCATAATGGATATCGGCATATAATTAGTTTAATAACTATCTCAGAACTAATCTCTACCGGATTTCCCGTCCGAAGGCCCGCGCCGCCGTGCTCGAGTGCCGCGACGAGGCCGGGCGCCGCAAGCGACTGAGCGCCGACGAGCGGGCCGCACTCACGAGCCGCACCGCCGCCGCCGAAGCCTCCCACCGACGCCTCCGGGCCCAGCTGGCCGCCTGGAAACACGAAGCCTCAGAGAGATACGACAGCCTCGCCGGCCAGCTCGAGGTCGACCCGCGATTCGCTTTGGAACTCGGCAGCCAAGGGGCTTCGTCGGCAGATGAGGAGGACGAGTCGGCGTCGGGATAAGGTGGGGGGGGGGCGAGAGTTAAGAGGGAATGGAGGGAGGAAGGAAGGGGAGGGATCGAGGGAGAGGAGAGAGAGAGAGAGGGAAAGGTTAGGGGAGGAAAAGAGGAAGCGTAGCAAAAAAGAATAATGAATAGATTGAAGAAAGATGAAGAGAGAGAGCCAAATAAAAAAAAGTGGGAGTAAAACGGCGAGATAGAAGGACGGAAAATAAAAGTTTATAAGAAAATATTGCAAGAAAATGCGAAAAGGGTCAAAGAAGGCCATATGATGCAAAGGTATGATGTAAGGCAAAGTTGAATGAAAGAAAAAGACAAGAATATAAAGATGAATGCATAGTTCAAGAAAACGGAGCCAAGGAAAGAAAACGGTCGATGTCTCGCTTAAAACTAATCATTAAGATTATTATTTAATGATCTCTTTATTGTCTTAAGAAAAGAAATAATACATTTTATATACTTTTGATTTTTTTTGTGTAATGTTTAAAACCTCTCTGTGCAAGAACTCAAAATCTAACAAATTATCACGTTTTTATTAATATTTTAATAACAATAATATTTTTTATCAATATCTATTTTATTATTTATAAATCATTGCTCTTTAAGAATGTGTAGTACGTGTAGTACAAACTCTGGAAGCCATAATGTATGAAAATGAAGTAGAAATAACAGCTAAACACCATTTTATTCACTATATAGAAATACAGGAAGAAAAACTTGATGTGATAAAGTAAAACTAATGTCATAAAAAATGGCCCAAATCAGTAAAGATAGAAATGAAAACGTTTTAGAAAAGTCTTCTGCAAATAATTATGATGATGCTTATCACTATGGATGTATCATTGAGGAAGATAATATGATTATGGGTTTAATTATGAAAATAATGATAATAAGATGATTGCAGTGATAAGTAATGATGATAATAGTAGTGATAATGAAACAGCTATAGTAACCATATCAATACTACTACTAATAATGAACCTTGATAACAAAATTAATGACTATTTATGATAATGAAAATATACCCCCCTCCCCCAAAAAAGAAAAAGGAAATTATTGTTTATATTTTACTAAAATAAATAAAATATATATATTTTTTATATTAACAAAAGATATATAACATTTTTTTCATATGTTGATATTCTTATGTTTGTTCTTATTACTGTATCCACGCTTTCTTTATATATATAGATTTAGTTATATCTGGATCTGTTTATTCAACCATGGTATAATATATAATTCACCCATATATAATACACATATGGCAGGCCGAATGTTTCAGAGAATTCCGTAACAAAACATCCTACGTCACTGGTTTATGGACAAGTTTTCCGTTTCCTTGTATTTGGTGGATGATGTTTACATGCTACTAGTCGGGTATCCATTTTAAGTATAGGTATTCATTACTTTCGCCAAAGGTCAACTCTGATGAAATTAATTATTTTGTTTAAGTATTTGACACTTTTCTCATTCTGTTTTCTGTCTGTCCCTTTCTCTCGCTGTCACTTTTCCCTTCTTCATATTTTTATTCTTAACTTTCTCTCTTTCGCTCATTCACATTCTATCTCTTGCCTGACCAATTGTATTTCTCTTATTTCTCTACCCTTTTCTCATTTTTTTTTATTCCCTTCTTTCTCTCTATCTCTGTGCCTATCTTGTTCGTACTTTCTCTCTCTTTCCAGCTAACAGCTAAATCTATCTGTTTTCGTCTCTCTCTATAGCTAACACAAAATGAGAAATTAAGAGCCGGGAAGACGCATAGTTACTGCATTATCTTCGCCATTTATTGATGTTTTCTAACATTGTTGGAAAGAGGTATTGTAATTTATTTGGTATTTTTTGGTAAATATGTTTAACCTAAGTATATTATGATTAACTAGATATTAATGAGTGAGAATGATTTTGGATATTTAAGGTTCCTTACTGACGACTCGCATATTTTTGATTTTATAAATTTGCGGATAAATTGTCCTAAGGCTAAATGGCATAAATTTCTTGCAATGTCCAGATTTCAACAACTTTCACTTTAAATTCTCACTATAAAACTCTTCCACTATGAATGAAATGGAAATGCAGCAAAACAGCCACGCGGTAGCCAACAGGAGCCAGCGTACCGTTTGGACATTCCAATTGCATTCCAACCGAGTGGCCTGTTGCTTCCTGTTGCATAACTGCCGACCTGAGTGACCTTTTGACCTCGAGAGGGGGACGTTATCTCCTCGGAGAACACTCGTGAGCCGCCAATCACGAGCAAGTGTCAACAAACACCAATTATCTTTTCCCGAAGCCAGTGAAAGGTTACCCTGGTCTCGATCCTGGGACCTGCAACGTGCAAGTCAGAGATGATGCCAATGCTGCCACCAGGATCTATTTTTTTTTTTTTTTTAGTTTTTTTATATACCCAACTCGGTTTCAGACGCGATGCAACTTAACATTATTATCTATTTATTATTGTCTTAGGAAAGAATTAATAAATCTTATATGCTTTCGAAATATTTTTGGTGTAACTGGTGTTCCCATTTCTGTTATGTTCGTTCTCTCTCTAATACACTTTTCTCATTCTGTTTCTCTCGCTCTCACTCATCCCTTCCTCCTATTTTCAATCTTAACTTCCTCTTTCGTTCATCCATATTTTCTCCCTTGCCTCTCCATTTGTATTTCTCTTATTCTTTCCTCTTTTCTCTCCCATTATCATTTCACTCCTTTCTCTCTGTCTTTTTGCCTGTCTTGTTTTCTCTCTTTCTCATTCAGCCTTCATAACTTTTCTTTTCTTCCTTTATGATTTCTTTATAACTTACTAGTCTTTTATAGATATAGATTGATATGTTATTTTGGATTATCAGTCTATCTTTATCTTCCCTTTTTTAGCCGAGTGCATTGTTACTTGTTTTTCATATTTTGAAGCATGTTTGGAAACATCTTTCGTATATAAAAAAAATCATGGAGATCAATAATAAAACATATATTTAAAATATGTCTGTATTTTATACTCAATACTGATGACTTTAAGAAATATATAACATCATTTGAAATGAATTCTAAAAGACACAAAGGATAAAATAATTGTAACTACAATGATGCAGGGAGAAAAATTAAATATATATATTAACAACAATGAAAACGATAGTGAGAGTGATACTTAAAACTTTGTTAATTTGTACTTTTGTATTTTAAAGAGAAGGGTTATGGATGTAAATAGATAATTATATCTATATACATATATACACACGCACACACATATATATACATACAACACATTATATATATATATATATATATATATATATATATATATATATATATATATATATATATATATATATATATATATATATTTGTGTGTGTGTGTGTGTGTAAATTAATATGCATGAAAAAATAATACAATTTTGTCCATTTTCATCATTTTATTGAGCAAAATTTTGGACGGACAGTATCACAGACAGTGAAAAGTTTAGGTGATAGAGCCACATCAAAGACAAGGACAGCCTGAGGTCGTGCTGACTAGAGAAGAATGTCTGACCTTTTCTGACCTCTAAACACTTGACCCAGTTAACATGTTCAGAGAACGTGTTCATAATAAGGGACGAAGGAAGGAAGGGAAAAAAAAGAAGTAAAAAAACGGTGAAAAGGGAATATATAATGAAGAGATATTTTTTTTAGAGGAGGTTTTAGATAGGGTTAAATATGAAAGCAAAATGACAGAGGAAGTTGAAGAAATTAAGGAAGAAAATGACGAGAATCAGGAACATAAAGAAAACGAGGGAGGTAAAGAAAATAGGAAAGCTAACGAAAATAATTGGCGGTAACGAAAACAGGGAAGAAAATCCGGAAAATAAGGAAGATGATCAGGAAAATAAAGAAGATGAAACAAAGATGAAAGGGAAGATAAAGAAATAAGGAAAACAAAGTGACTAGGTGCTTGATAGTGCTTTTGATTAGCTTACACATGTGCGTTGAATATACAATTCTTATTCAATTGTTCACAATCCGTAACATATATCATCTATAACTACTCTCACATATGGATAAAATATACACAGTTCTCCAGTTTCCATGAAAAGTTCTTTGTATCATAACGAACTACAAACTGTGAGTGGTTACTTACTTTTTAAATGTAGAATATCTATTGCTATCTGCACTGAGGGTTACTACTTCTTGGGACTTTAGAAAAATCTATAAGACTCTGGTGATTTGGATAATCAAATACGAAATACAAGCTAAACACTTTGAATAATTATTTTTGCTCTATGCTAAAAAAAAAACAAAGCATGTTTGCTGTGTGTTTATATTTATTTTATTTTTTTTCTTAATCTAAATGATTTTTTTGTTCTTATCTTTAGATGGAGACGACATAATGCTATTACAAAAGAAAATAACACCGTTTTGAATGCAGTTTTTAAAAGGAAAACTTTCTGTGGAATATGGGACTAGAAACACGAAGAAGGTGTAGATATATTAGCTGGAAGAACGGCAGTGTTCTAAATCAGAGCTGCTTTGAAATAGCATTACATCATGGTTAAACAAATCAGAAAGAAGGGAAAGAGATTTTCACGAGAGGAAGATGGGGGGAAGGAAAGAAAGACGGGACACAGAGAGAAAGGAAGAGATAAGAGAAAGATGAGAATCAGAGGCACAGGAAGGAGACAGATAGAAAGGAGGAGATAAGAGAAAGATGAGAATCAGAGGCACAGGAAGGAGCCCGTAGATCCAGAGACAAAGTCGTGGCACGTAGAGTAATCCTTCACTGTGTTCTTCTACGGCGTGTGTTCTAGTAATCTTCTTCTTCGGCTTCACTGAGTGGATTCTGTTCGACTTCGTTGTAATCCATCTCCAGTGCTGCCAGATCCTCTCGTGCTTCGGAGAACTCTCCTGCAGGTACAAGTGTGGTAAGGTATGTAGCTAAAGGGTATTCTCGCGGAGCTGGCTAAACTGGTGAATGAGATATTTTTGTTTTAATCTTTGTATTTTTTTCTTGACAAGTAGGAACCACGTCTTGCTAAAATTATGAAGGGAGTTAGGCCTACAGATGTTTTTAACCATGCTTTATGGCTTATTAATTTAGAACATGGCTAAATGAAAAAAAAAAAATCCCTTTTAGTCTTCCCTACTCTTTACCACCTTAGAATCATACTTTACGTCATATTTTCATGTCTTTAAGATTATAAATAAAAATACACTTCCCTCATGCTAAATCCTTTTTACCTTACGTGTTAGGATTCCGTGCTTTTGTCCCCCGCCCCCAAGATGAAAGAAATTATTCTTTCTAAAGAATGCAATACACTATTTTTCTACTTATATATATATATATATATATATATATATATATATATATATATATATATATATATATATATATAAATAATTAGATAACCTACTTTACTCGACATAATATTTCCTCTTGTAACATCCAGCATTTTCACAGGATTATTATAAAAAAAAAAAAAAAAAAAAAAAACGCAGAACCTAATTTTAATGCGTCGGACAAAAAACTTCTTAAACCAGCTGCTCCTCTTGTAATATCCAACACATTTATAAGATCGTTAGAAAAAAAAGGAAGAAAAACGTATTCCTAAGAAACTATTTTTGAAGTGTTAGACAAATCAGGTATCAGTGTTACAGAACATGTTCTGAAGAAAAATCTGCAGCGTCACTGTTAGTTTTACATCAACTACACGTTTTTACCTGTGGTTGAATAGCAATAAGAAAAAACAAAAAGGAAGAGAAACTATTATTACAGAATAAATAGGGACTGTTCTTAATAGTGAGTTCTATGACCAATTTGTTTCACTTTTTATCTTTCCTTTTTTCTTATTTTTTTCCTCTCTGTTTATTTTTCTCACCATCATTTTCATATTTCTTGACTTTTTTATCATTATCTTATTATCATTTTCCATTCTTATCACTCAACTTTACTCTTTTTTCTATTATTTTTCATCATCCTCCACACACATATATCTTTTTTCTTCTTCATCTACTTCTTCCCCATTCCACTTTTAGTACTCCGCTTCGCTCATGTTTTCTTCCTCTTCGTACGTCTTCTCCACTTCCTCGTAGTCCATCTCGAGAGCCTGGAGGTCCTCCCTTGCCTCGCTGAACTCTCCTGCGGGAAGCGGGAGGAGGCGGTGAGGGTGGTGGCAGAGGAGGGGGAGGTGGAAGAGTTGGAGGGGGAGGTGGAGGTGGAGGTGGAGATGGAGGCGGAGGGGGAGGGGGAGAGGGAAGAGGAGGAGGAAGAGTTGGAAGGGGAGGTGGAGGCGGAGGGAGGGAGGGAAAAGAGGGGGAAGAGGAGGAGGAGGAGGAGGCGGTAAAGGCGGTAGAGGTGGAGGAGGAGAAGGAGAAGGAGGAGAAGGAGGTAGTGATGAATGAAAACGATAATGGGGGTTTGATTGGAGGAGTAAATGGGGGGTGGCAATGATGGGGAAAGAGGAGGAAGAAAGAGTGAAGGAAAAGGGGAAGGGAAGGGGAATAATTGGAGATGGATATGAAGAAGGGAAGGGAAAGTGGAGGAAGGATGGTAGAGAGAGAGCGAGAGCGAGAAGGAAAAGGAAGGGGAGGAGACTAGATAGAAACAAATAGGAAAGATGAATATAGAAAGAAGGAAGAGGAGGAGGATAGCGAGAAATCGATGAATAAGGGAGAGGGAGAGAACAAGTGGTTATCTAGTCTTCACGGAGAACAGAAAAAAATATATGTATTTTAAGAAATTGGAAACAAAGAAGACGAAAAAATTTGAGGTGCCGATCGCGTCCATAAATATTTAAAAAGAGAAAGAAAAAGATGTTTAGAGAAATTCAGACTTTTTATGACAATAATAATGGAAAATAGGAGAGAAAACTGTGCACATTTATCCGTGATAATTAAGCATAGATCTGTAAATCTGAGATAAACATCACCATTAATTTCATTCGTAAATTTCGTGACAATGAAACCATAAATTAAAAAAAAGAAGAATGATTTCTAATGCATACTTTCAATGGAAATACAAGGTAATATATAATAGGGAAACAAAGCATATCTTTCAGCCCAATAATAAACAACGATAAAGAAATAGCACTTGATTATTTCCGTCTTTGTTTGACCCTCCGTCGTGAGTCACTTGTTTTCATTCCTTGAAAATATATTTATTATATGAGGTGAGTAAAGTATTAAAGGGAAAGAAAAGTTAAAGAGAGGCAGGCTGAATAGTATATATATATATATATATATATATATATATATATATATATATATATATATATATATATATATATATATATATATATATGTATATATATATATATATATATATATATATATATATATATATATATATATATATATATATGTATATATATATATATATATATATATATATATATATATATATATATATATATATATATATATATGTATATACATATATACACACATATATATATATATATATATATATATATATATATATATATATATATATATATATATATATATATATATATATATATATGTATATATATATATATATATATATATATATATATATATATATATATATATATATATATGTATATATGTATATACATATATATATATATATATATATATATATATATATATATATATATATATATATATATATATATATATATATATATATATATATATATATGTATATACATATATACATATATATATATATATATATATATATATATATATATATATATATATATATATATATATATATATATACATATATATATATATATATATATATATATATATATATATATATATATATATATATATATATGTATATATATATATATATATATATATTATATACTCTGTATATATAGCCTAAACATATATAACTGAACTTATTTCGATTTCATGCTTAAGCTTAACAGTAATAACAAGTAATATGAGAATAATCTGGCAAGACAATAATTAAAATATAAAGTTTAATGCTAAACAGGGTTTCCATGTTAGCATACTTTAGATCTAGTTAAAAGACTGCATGCTTTGTCACAGACACTGAGTGATGAACATTATCCTGTAGTGCGTGATATTAACATTACTAAATCAAATGATACATTGAAAAATATGTTTTAGATATTTTTCCGATTTTAATAGTTCAGTGATATATTTTCTTACAGTTTTCATAGTCAGCGTTTTTTTTTTTTTTTTTTTTTTATTATTTTTTTTTACATTAAATGATTTTATAACCATGACAATCGATCAGATTCCTTGATATGCAGAGTGTCAGAAACGCTAATTCAACAAAGTGATGATCACGGTGGTACATGCAAATCACTTATCATGAGGCATTATGGACGCATTGATAACATATCTGCATCACTGAAATCCATCTACACAAGATACCACTACCCCAAGGTGTGGCACGAACTTGCAGGTGCCCATTAATGGCACCTGGGCACTGGCCAAACAGGGTACTATCAGTTTGCCATTTGTCAACCATGCATAACTTTGCCGCTAGTGAATACGCTTTGCTGAGAACTATAACTCTATGAGGAATATGCACAGACATACATTCGGTTCCTGTGTCATGCATGTGAGGGCATGGCACATCACAAGAGTCGCTTACAACACGCACATCACTTCTTGCATTGTGACTCTCTGTTACAAACCACGTCACGAGACTCCTGCGAGGAAAACTTACCTACGAATCTGCGTCGCTGATCGGGTCAAGTTATATTCCTGTAATTATCGTAATCTGGGGGGGGATTGGTTTTCGATTATTATATAATATAACTCGATGGATGAATATCGTCAGTTGTGTCGAATCTCGGGGGGGAGGGGGGCAACAACTGGCAACTCATCCGGACTCTGGAAAACTGCGATTCGTCAAGTCTCTTATATCTACATGTTTCATATTCTTAAAAACTTATCATCCATATTTTCTTATTTTTCTTTCTTTCCTCTCTTTTTTAATCTACTGTAACATCTCGTTTTTTTTCGTTTTTTCGTCTCACAAAAGACTTGGTGAATGGGTGTACTCCAGAGATCGGGACGAGTTTCCAGTTCTTTTCTTTCCTGGATGCAGTGTAGTATGTTTTTTTATTGTTCTTTTTATTTCGTTTAACCATTCTGTGATGCTCATTCCCTCCAAGGTCTATTCAAGTAAAGTCTCGTCACTTGCGAGTTCTGCACAGCTTTGGGTGATAAGGCCTATGACGTCATTTGGAGTTGGCTGCGAACGGTGTGTGTGTGGGGGGGGGGTAGAGAATGGTAAGATTGGGGGAAGGGGATATAGTAAAACTTTAGCCAACTCGAGCAAAAGCTAAAGTGTTTTTTAGACGTTGGCTCATATTTATGTGTATATGTGTGTGTGTGTCTATCTATCTATCTATGTATATCTCTATATATGTATATATACATGCATATATATACATATAAGCCAAGATGGACGGATTTGAGTAGCTATGTGACGAGACCTTATTTATATAGACCTTGCCACCATCTACTAACAGGTGTCCCCGCAATGAACACCACCGTTAGTTACGATTACGATTCGTTTTCTTCATACTGCCAATTTTCGTATAACATGATATGCGGACTTCATCTATTTCGTTAACTGCATGTAACCTGCTGGAAATATACTTGTTGATCGGTCACAAGAAGGATAGAGTAGCCTATTCAAGATACTCGGGGATAAAAATAAGTCTGTGTTACTGGTCTGATATTCATAAAAGGTGTGATTGTCTTGTGTTGTTTATCACGAAGAGAGGGTCGTGGTGCTAGTCCATAGATCAGGTCCATGACATTCATGAATTTAAAGTCACTGTTTTTTAACTCATTTTATACATGCTGGAAATCAAAATGCAAAGATTGTCTCTTGCAGAATCATGCATCCTGCGGGACTAGCAGCA